CGTGTATTAAAACTGTAGATAAGTTTATATATATATATATATATATATATATATATATATATATATATATATATATTAATTCAATTTAAATAGAAAACAGACAACCTTAAGGTTCCATTAGTTATATACATACATACATACATGCATATATATATATATATATATATATATATATATATATATATATATATATATATATATTTACCTGGTTCATCAGACCACACTTCCTAGGCTGAAAAATGTTTTACATTTACATATAGTTTTTATACACTTTTGAGGGATAGTTTTAAGTTGATGTAAAGTGATATAGAAAGAGGGGGAGGAGTATGACAAACATGGTCGAAATTAGAGAGGAAGGAGAGATAGAAATAATTTTAACTCATCCTCGGAATTATCTATACGGATTACCAAAATTTTCATTACTTTATATATATATATATATATATATATATATATATATATATATATATATGCTTGTGAAGATTCTTGCATGTCTAAGTGGGCATCGCATGGTAATGTGTATTCGGATCTCTCTAGTGGGAGAGTTCTAATTTCTTCCTCTTTTTGCTGACAGTCAGCGCAACGGAGTGGTACCCCATTCTAATCTATGGCTGATCTTTATATGCATGTATTCTTTGTATAAGTTAGATTCTTCAAGAATGGATTCAAAGAATGATGGTGATGTATTGTAATTTTTTAGGCGTGTCTTTATAGTTGGTAATAATGCTAAATTTTCAAAGTATTTTCTCCTTAAAAACATGTTCTTTTTAACTAGGATGGCATTAGTGACATCAAAGTAATGTCATTTCGATGTAATACTGAGAGTTAGATCGTTTGTCTAAACTTAACTCTCACTTGTGTTCGTAGATTCGGGTATTTAGATAACGTGATATCCCCACTACATTTTTAAATGGAACTTAGTTTGGCATAAAGTCATAGATGTAAGATTCAAGTCACTTTATTTATTCTCTTGTGTCATTTCTCTTCAGGACGTAGACAGTAATGGAGCTCAACAGATTCCTTTTCTTTATTATCTTTTAATTTCCATGATTTCTCATGAAAGAGAGTAGATTGGTTTACCGTTGCCTTCCCTACGTTTCGGAATTCTGAGTTTTATTTCTGTTACAGAACTCGTTTCTTCCTGCTATTTAATCCATACCTGGAAGTTCAAAGAGAATAGATAGAAATATGTTTTTCTCGGTAGCATTCTTGCGAAAGTCCGTATAAAAGACTTGGTTGGAATTTGAATTCAGCTTGCTGAATTCTCTTTCATTGTTTCTCTACCCGCACATACACTACATTTGAGATCTGCTTTGAGAGAATACATTAATAGCCCTCAGTTTATTGAAGGTCGGGCCGATAGTGGTAGATATTCAGTTAACATTTCAGAGCGTTTAAATTATCCCTTTCTTTTTTTTACATATAACCTCATCTTTAAAATCTTCTCGAAGAATTACGATATTTGCATTGCAGCAACAAATTTTCCTCCAAAAGAAAAGAAATCTTATCACACATCCACTGTTCTTTTTATATGAAGCATAAGAAAATCAATAAACGTGATTGCGAACACCATACATAAGCCTCAGGAAAGCAATTCAATCCAGAATCATGGAGTCGAATGACTTAGAATAATGTCGATTCGTGACACCTAGCGGCGCAGTACGAAACTATGTCCAGTTTGCTGGCTACATTATTTTTTTCCGATAGGGATGGTGCCTACTCAAATATCATATGCATATGTATTATTAATTATACAAAGATTTAAGAGTGTCCTCCACGTTTTTTAAGGTCCTGAAATAGACAGTAAATCCCGTGCGACATATGCAAAATAGTCTGCAGAATCTAGAGCTAAAGGTCAGTAAAAAGGAATTAATTTCAGGTTTAAGATCTTGGCTTATATCCTGCGGTTTTCCCAGGAAATTGGCCGATTACTTGTGTCACAAGTTTTCTTAGTCGGTGGCATTCTCTCTACCAAAATCAGCGTAAGTTTCGTCCATTTCCGCGTTACCTTCGTGATCTACATTGTTTTATCTTTTTAGCAGAAACAAAATATGAATATATATATTCTAAATAATAATAATCTATTAAACAATAGAAATGAGTTAACGGTTTTTTGTCGACATCATCAGATTCATGGTTTGAATTATTAGCTAAAAACAAGCATACAACTTTTATAATCCATAGCCCAAATAAATAGTTTAAATACCCTACAAAAAAGATAACCCTTTATGAAGTCGTCAAAAAACAAACGTTACGGCAAATTTTTTTATATGCACAAATCCCTTTCATAAAAAATAAAATAAAAAAATAAATAAATCTCCATAGACACGCAAACCAGACTAGAGTTATACTTCTTCCGTTCCAAATTAAACACCCCCACCTTACTCTGACTTGACATCTAGGAAAGTAACTCTATACTGATACTTATTATTAACACCCAACACACGCCTACCCAATTTAAACAATTCGCCCTAGCTGTTACCATGGAAATTTTGATTTCAATTATTAAAACACGTAAATTTTCAAATACGTTATTCCAAAAAAATTTCGCTTGATGATGGAACAGAGCTTACTTTAACTCAATTTAATTCAAATAATTATATTGAAGTTTTCGGCTCTTGTTTTGAAGCATGAGACCTCTTATGTCGCGAGTTGGAATCATATTTTAAATAAATAATTATATATATATATTGTTGTGGTAGGATCCACCTAATTTGCATATGGTTGGTACCGGGAAGAGAGGGTGGAATCAAGTGATTCAACCAAAGACTCTGCCCGACTGCGACTCAGTCAACACATTCTCCAGGAACGGTCTTACCAGGAATATACAAAAGACTATATGTAAATATTGTGTACACTTTCTTGTTTCAATACATTTTGTTCTAAGTACCTTTTGTGTTGCATTATTATTCCATGCATTAGTCAAGTTTCAACATATATATATATATATATATATATATATATATATATATAATAGAAATAGTTATACTCGTTTGGAAAAACCTTAGGTATTTTGGCTTGTAATTGAACAAACCAATGACCAATGGAAAATAAGGGATAAAAAAAGAACAAACACCATGAAATTGAAGTGAAAACAATCGTCCAGAATTCAAGCTCAGTCCAAAGAAAAAAACTCCACAACGAGTAAAGCAAAAGTAACTACGTAAAGTGCTGAATACGCTAAGTCAAGCAAACCTAAATATGAACCTAAAAAGCCAGGTAAACCTACCTAGGTTTCACCTATACGGATCGTCAGGGTCAATAGGTGAAACCTAGGTAGGTTTACCTGGCTCCCTTTAGGTTCATATATATATATAGGAAAAACACCGAAAGTATCAGTTGATAAAGCTGAAACGAAATTGAAACTAAAATGTAATTTAAGATAAAAATGAACGAAAGATTAAAATCCAAAGTTGATAAATATATCTTTAAGCAAGCCAAAACAAAAAATAAAAATAAGACAAACGTTCTTTAAATAAATATTAATATAGAAAAAACCAATGACTATAGAAAAAGAAATAATGATAAACACTACATATATATATATTCCAACAATAATACATATATAATAAATTAAATAAATAATAATTTCAAGTTATGTTATTGTATTACTTTTCGCAATATTAACATTTTTCTGTAAAATTCAAAATCCGTTAATTTTCCACACATTATTTACATTTATCGGACTGTTATCCTCATCTTCATTGCCATAATCACACCGTTTTGGCCGTTGTACGCTCCGGCCTTCTTCGAGTGATTGGAATTTTGAACCGAGCCCTTCATTTCGTCCACCAGAGTAGATTGTTCTGGTTCCACGTGCCATGGCTCTTCCGGATGTCTCAGTTAATTTCTTTTAACTCAACAATCAAAATTTTGGTTCCCCACATCTGTGGCCTGGTATTGAACTCACAACTTTTTGGGTATAGTCACTGGATCCAACCAACGTCATTCAGAACGCACCAGTTTTTTGTCCCCAAAAAATCATTCTTCTAAGTCTCCTGACCTTGGTCCATCTGACTATAGTCTTTACACAACATTATAACATTTTTATATAAAAAAAAATTAATTGATAAAACTAATATCGAGTGTTACGTTACTTAGAAACATGTAGAATTGCACGCTTGGGGAACAATAATGTACCAAATAGGTTGGATTATCGATAATAAGAGGGAATATCTCGATTAGATCTATCAATTAAAATCAAAGAATCATTTAGCGTAATTCCCCATGTATAATAAGCCTTAATCCATAATAAGCACGCCTAAAATTGTGCTGAAAGTGTAGGAAAAAAGCTTCAACTCACGCATAATACGCACCCCTATAAATTTGACCTCTGAATTTTATTACGGTCAACCTTTCCTACTTTTATTTTAAAAATGGCTTTAAACATAGAATAATATTCTAATTTAGTTTTATGATAATTCTTATTTTATTTTACGGCAATTTTTTAAAGACTTTTCGTACCTGTGCATAATACGCACCCCTAATTTTGCTTATTATTTTGTAGAGAAAAATGTGTATTATACTTAGGGAATTACGGTAATTCTTTTCCATTTTAAAATGAGACAGAACTTTCTATCAAATACAAGGGATTTTTAGGCAATTTTGTCTTCTTTTCCAGGCATCATTCGTAAATGAGTTAAAGAAAATTAGTTTTAGAATGTTACATTTTCACTAAACAATGCTTTACGACGAAGATTTTTTTATAGAAAAAGTTTAAGCTTGAAGAAAATGTCTGAGCGTAATCTCAGAATCTAATAATACGACAGAATAGAGTCTGGCTTTTTAATAATACATTCAAAGATGGCAGAAGTTGGGCGCGTAATATTGACTTGTAGCCGGGAAAACAGCAGAAGCCTAGCAGCACGAAATAAAATTGGTGTGAAAAATAATTAAAGACGCAAATTAATAGGATTTTAATAAAGTGCTTAAAATATGGTAATACAAAACGGAAAGAAATGGGAAATGAGAAAAGTTGAAAAGCAGATAACTTTTCAGATTTAGGAAGAAGGGATCTGTTGGTCGAAATTGTTCAACAGAATGAATCGAAATTCATAAAGAGAAGGGAAGAAGAGGATAGGATGAGCAAACAAAGGTTTAAGGATCTTAAGATGTGGAAAGGAAAAAATGATGAGAATTGGATGAGCGAGGAAGAGTGAGAAGGAGAGAGAGAGAGAAAGAGAGAGAGAGTGAGAGAGAGAAAAGAAGAGGAAGGAGAGCCGAGACTTGGGAGTCGGGGGGGGGGAACAGAATATATAGGCGGGTAGAATGCGAAAGATAGAAAGAAGAGGAAAATACTGAGAGGAAAAGAATAGGCTAAAATGAAAGTACGGAAGCCGGGTGAAGAAACAATCGTGAGTATTTACAAAAGAAAAGAAATGTTCTATTTTGACTGAAAATTCAATCACGAAAATAGAGAGAAAAAAAATTAGACAATGATTTTTACGGCTTAACAGAAACCAGAAAATAATTTTATATTGTAAGGACGTTTTGGAGATGATAATGTACCCTTAATACAAATCATACTAATTAACCCATAGCTGGTGGGGAGAAATGGATTCATAACTTTCTCACGAGTATTTGTGCCTAAGTGAATTCGAACTTTCAGGTCGCCGAAACCAAAATGTTATCCATTAACCACCTGCACATCCAAGCATACAGCACCTGGTATTCCTAAGTGGTCACCAGTCTAGGTACTAACCAGGATCGATGTTGCTTAACTCTGGTAATTGTACAGGAACCGCTGTTTTAATGTGATGTCACTGTAAGGCGATATGAAAAAAATATAAACTGCGTGGAAAAAACATTGGCATGGGAAACATCATTTCGGGGTAAGGTAAATAAAGAAGAACTCTTAATGAAGGAAATCAGGAGTGTATTTTTTTTTTAATTTCTATTTTTAAGGGGGAATATATTCATCAAAACAGAGATTGAGCTAAATGCAATGGAAGCACAAAAGCACACAAGTTAATAACGCTGTGTTATATTATAGATTTTACAAACTATTGATAGTGCAACGTTGTCTGTACATTACTAGTGAAAAAACCTGGTTTAATCTCTTATAAATGACATTTTCATTAACCCATTCAGTTCTGTGTTGTTGAACAATTTTAACACTTCTGCCTGAGCTCCTGGGTTAAAATTCACAAATAATTGGCATGTAATATTTCACAGTAGATATAAATATAATTACAAGGGTTTACCCACCGTTACACCGGTAGCTGGGCGTTAAGTCATTTTGCTCTACCACTGTTCAACCGGTGGCTGGGAATTACGTCATTTTCTCTACCATCGGTAAAGCGGCGGTCAGAGCTCAAAGGGTTAAACACTACTTTATTATTTAATTGTTTTTTAAGCAATTCACCCCAAACAATGCGGGAGTGCCACTAACGCGCAAGGGGTTACAGAGGATTGAGAACAAGAGTAAAGAGGCGTGTTTGAGGAAAGGACACAGAGAAGGACTGGGAACAAGCCGAGGGTATCAGATGTCGATTGACATTACACTTGAATATTTGAAGATTATAGTTATCAGGGAAGCAGGCAAGAGGAAGGGAGTTCCACAGACGGAAAGCGAGGGAGAATAAGATGGTTGAGTAGAAGAGACGATTACATTAAACCGTTTTGACATTGAAAGGGTGGGACTGAGAAGCCAGCCTGGTAGCTCGCTTAAATTCATGCAATCAGTGAAAGTATCTTGTCGAAAGAGTTGCTGTGAAAATACTTGTAGAAGAGACAGATGGATGCCATGGTACATCTCTGGGATAGCGATTGAAGGCTAGATACCAGATCAGGACCTATCATCTTGCATATTCGTCTCTGGATTTTGTCGAGAACCTCGAGACGTACAGTGGGAGCGCCAGACCATATATGACAGCAATATTCCATGCAAGGACAAATGGTTGACTTATAATTACAACAGTCGCTTCTACTCTAACGTTTTGTTTTCTCGAATTTCTCAAATGTGGACAACCTTCCGTTTACTTGCTTCTCTAATAAATATAATCTTCAAAAATTTAAATGTAACATCAGTCACCATCTTGTTTCTTCTTGAATTCAGGTCATCATTTGGCCTTTTTCTAATATTCCCTACAGTCATTCTTTTCTCTCCCTTTCACTTCCTGTAACCCTTTGCGTACTAGAGTCATTCCCGCCATGCTCAGGGTGAAATGATTAAAAAGAATATATAGAAAACTTAAAAGATAAAATGATATCCGCACGCTAATTTAAAATGAGTCCAGAGCAAATTAAAAACATGATTACTGCCGAATTTCAATGCTCCCCTGAAAAGATTCATGTATATATATATATATATATATATATATATATATATATATATATATATATATATATCGATAGATAGATAGATAGATAGATAGATAGATAGATAGATAGATCCATATACATTCAGTGCAAAAATAAAACGATTCCGAAAAAGAAAAACTGAGATAGATAGCAAGATGAATGGAGATAGAAAGATAGATGATAGAGAAGCTGAGATAGATAGATAGATAGATAGATAGATAGATAGATAGATAGATAGATAGATAGATAAAAGAAAAACTGAGATGGATAGCAAGACGGATGAAAATAGATAGATAGATAGATAATAGAAAAACTGAGATAGATATCAAGATGGATGGAGATAGATAGATAGATAGATAGATAGATAGATATTCAGTGCCAAAATAAAACGACCCCCGAATCATTCTTCGAACGTGGGTAGATCTTACATTCCATTCACGTGCGGATGTACATAAGCTCTCATCTTTCCCTTGTGGACTGGTATTTAGATATCTGCATGGCTTACGGTTTTCCCCACGCGGGCACACTCAATGCGATGTTACATCGAATACGTGTTCTGCTACTGACATCATGCGAGGCATCGATTTGGATTGAGTTGCTATGATGTTATCTCTTAGGTTAACCCGACGATGCACCTGGCTTCTCTGACGTCTCACTATATGCCAGTTTATTTTGGCAATATCTGATGTCAGTTAGATACTTCAGTATCAAACAGGTATTCATATAACTTAAGAACTGTGCCGAACGCGCAATAGGTGACCTACTCAAAACAAAATCTTACATCAACATCAAGATACCAAAAATTAATAGCAAAGATTTTGCATTAGGGAGCAGAAGCCACATACTGTGAAAGCATCTATGTATTTTTGCTCATGTGTGGAGCACAAGTATAACAAATACCATGTCTACAAGCGCGAAGTAATGGGGACACTGTATTTCTGATTGTGATCAGCTTGTGAATATACAACACTTGACGACACTATTTACATTATTCGGAATATTGTCCTCATCTTTGTCGCCATATTTATTACAACGGCCGCTGTACGCTACGTCCTTTTTCAGGTAGTTGGAATGTCGAACTAAACCTCATTCTTTGTATGATTACCTCTTTAAAATTTTACATTTACTGTACCACTTAATATATATATATATATATATATATATATATATATATATATATTGGTGCATGTTTCATTAAATAATATAGACACGCTTTGTCTATTTTAAATAACTTCCTTTCATATTGTCTGATAAGCTTAATAACATTATCATTGAAAGACAAAAGGAAATCACCATATTGATACATGTTTAAATCCAATCTAAGCTTTCGGCTTACATAAGTGGTCATGTGTGACGTCACGTAGTGCGACGCGATTTTCGCTTCCGCGTCTCGTATACACTAGTTAGTCGTTGCTTTCAAATTTTTCATGCAACAAAAACAGACTATCATTATTGTTCCGTGTATTGGTTGATATATTGAAAAGTAATTGTCATCTTTGATAATTGCTTTATATATATATATATATATATATATATATATATATATATATATATATATAGGCGTCTGGAGACAGTGAACTAAAACCGTAACATTTAAAATTGATCTTCTGTAATCTTGAGTAGCGTAAAACGGTTTCAGTTATGGTTTCAGATCGGTGTCCGTAAATACATTCCTATTCTGGTCTCTTCATTCTATAGACATTCAGCACGGTAGACTTTTGTTTAAGTGTGTGTTTCTCTCTTTCTTTTCTATGTTAGGTCTTAGCACTTTCTCTTCTCCTAATATTTACTTTATTCTCTCTCTCTCTCTTTATATATATTATTATTTTAAAAAATAATAATAATAAAGATAGAAACGCACTACGTTGGGTGTAATAGAAAGGTAGGAGGCGGAGGAGGATGTCAAGAAGAAGAAGAAGAAGAAGAAATGCAAGTGTATTTTAAATATATCGGTGGGTGTTAATTGAAATGTACATTACTTTTTATCCAGCCTCATTTGAACTTTAGAGACATTTTCTAATGTGTAATCATGGACTTAAGACTTCGGATTTCTGGTTTAAAAAGTTCTTTCGATCCGGAAATGTAATAATCGCTAATTTTTCCTCTTACCAGTGATTGTTATTAGGCCTTTTTTTAAAATGTTCATACATTATTATAAATATATATATATATATATATATATATATATATATATATATATATATATATATATATATATATATATATATAAAGGCATTAAAACTAGAAATGTTGTATTGCAGGCCATGATAAGTTTAAAATAAAACACACACCAGTCGACCGGTTTCGTCCCCTCTCGTCAGAACTGTTAACGGGGAATTTAGATTATGAGGAAAAAATTCCTCATAATCTAAAAAATATAATTTTAAACTTATCATGGCCTGCAATACAACATTTCTAGTTTTTAATGCCCTAATACGCTTTTTGTACCGTTTCTAACCTATTTTATATATATATATATATATATATATATATATATATATATATATATATATATATATAAAAGAAAGAACAGTAAGACTAAGTTTATAAAAAATAAAATTTATTGAATCAGAGAAATGAAATAGCTATTTTTTTTGCAATCATTGTCAGAAATTTTCCTTAAATAATATTTAAAAATGAAATTAAAAAATGGGAGCTGGTAATATACATAATTTTAGATAATGTAAGTAATTCTATTACATTGACTTGTTTTTAAAACGAAATATAGTCTATTAGTAATTAAGAGTAAAAATATTTTAAAATTGTAGTTAAATAAAACGTATTCTAACCCTTTAAACAAGCCTAGATAGAATCTTTATGTATATACTAGTAAGGTACAAAATGCCGAAAAACTTTTTGCCGTTAATAATAATTAAAAACCCCAGACGAGATGCATTTAACGGATGTCAGAATTCGTTGAAAAATACACACCTACCCTCCCTAATCTTAACCTCTTTTTCGGAAGTATCCTATAATTGATACAAATATAGTTAATAAAAATGAACACGCTACCAGCCCTGTCTGAATGATTGTATTTCTCTCTATCCTTGGAAACAGCAAATTATGAATTTATATGTGCGTTTAAAACTCAGTAAATTTAAAAATAAGTTATCCCAATATTCGTTTGCAGATGAAACGGAACTAATAGTTTTAATTTAATTATATAATTAAATTAAAACTTTTAGCTTCCATTTTTGAAACATGGTTATTACTGTGTAGCGAAAAAATTTTTTAAATCAGTTACTTTATAATATATATATATATATATATATATATATATATATATATATATATATATATATATATATATATATCACACACACACACACACATATATATATATATATATATATATATATATATATATATATATATATATATATATATATATATATATATAAAGAAAAGAAAAAATATATATTCTGGTGTTCTTATTGATATATTTATTTTTACAAAATAGTGCTCAATGTAAATTTACTGAGCTTTAATATTATAAATTAACTGATTTAAAACATGTTTTTCGCTACACAATAATAACCATGTTTAAAAAATGGAAGGTAAAACCTTCAAATTTAATTTTGTAATTAAATTAAAAACATTAGTTCCATTTCATCCTCAAGCGAATTTTGGTGTAACTTATTTTTTTTTATAGGCGTAGAAAAGTTCATAATTCACTGTTTTCAAGGATACAGATAGATCCAATTATTTAGACAAGGGGTGGTAGCGTGTTCATTTTTATTAACTTTTGTTGTATAAGTTATTAGTTTCATTCGAAAAAGGGGTTATGTTTAGGTAGGAGTAGGGATGTATTTTTCAACGAATTCTAACATCCGTTAAATGCATGTCGTCTGCGTTTTTTTTTAAAAAGTTATTGTTAATGGCAAAAATTCTTACGGTATTTTTTCTATTTGTATACTTAAAGATTTTGGGGGGATTAGAATACATTTTACAATATCTACAAATCTACAAATTTAAAATATTTTCACTTTTAATTTTTAATAGATCTACAGTAAGAATTGTCAGAGAAACATCACCCCATCGCATATATCTCCGTATCTTCTTTATTATTCCCCCTGAATCCCATGTCCCCGCTTGTTGAAATCGATTCCGGATGAATAAAATTAAACATTTTCTTTATATTTATACTCTATATTATATTTTTCTTTATTGTTCAACATAATTGTAATCATAAATATCTCGTCGAAAAAATGTACCCTTCAATTATAGCCCATTTTATTACTTTACCTACAATCACACAATTATAAACAAGTCAATTATAAACAATTATAGTTTATAAACAACTAAATTGCTACTTCGTCTATTAACCCAGATCGTATATTAAAGCATGTCATAACCTTTCTATTTCGACGTCCTTGCGTCACTATTGTTGTTACCGCTTTCACTGCGTCAGCTATTGATTCAGGTATAGACGAATCTCTTAACGTTTTCCATCGAAGATTTTTATGATAATTTCTGATATAAAAAATGTTAATAATACTACTGGCCAAAAGAGGCAGTGTATTAGACACATATGAGATTTTTATAAAGATACAGACGGCCTTAGATAATCTCTGGTTGATCAGGATGCTAAAGTGATAAGTGAAATATAAAATAGTGGTAAAATAACGGAAGATCTACTTTTCTTAATTCTGGTGGGAGGAATACGAACGAATTTCATTGTACAATAACAGACAATTCGACATAGAATATGACTAATAATTAAGATTTAAAAATCTTGCTCAAAGCAGAATCAGACGGTAAAATAGGGATGCATAATGTAGTTGTTTTCATGAAACTGGAACAAAAATTCTATTTTCATAATGAGATCTTCTTTTCAACGTGTAAGACGAATGTAGACAGACTTACACAGACAGAGGCATGCCATAACTTGTAATACGGAAAGCATTTATTAGGAAATTTGGTTTATCGTATGATCGACACTCATGACTGGGAACAAACTGCTTTTATGTGAACAGGGATCACTAAGTTGAGGGCAGCAAACTAGACAGGTCAATGAGATATGGATGGACTTTCTTAGCATATCTATTTAAACTGAATAATGAAATGATTCCCACAGAATCAGCTACTATTTATTTAAGGCCGATAATAACAATAATGTCATGCGGTAGGCATATGCGATTGAGTTAATGGCAAATACAGAATGAAAAACTTGTTCGACAATAGAGTCGATAAAAACAAAATGAATAAGTAGACAGTGATGTGCAAAAGGGATAGTTCAAGAGAGGGGTTCAAATTAAACACGTGTGGAATATCAAAAGCTACGATTATGTCATAACAAAAGTCAGAAAATGGGGCACAGAGATTTGAAAGTTCTTTGGAAGCTTCTTCGATATTCTATATGCTACAGATTTGAAGTTTCGTTAGAATCTTCTTCGATTTTCTA